AAACTTATAAGATTATCTGCTTGATAAAGTTATCGGTTTAGATGAATACTACTATTAAAATTATCGTTGATAAATATATTTTTTCAAAAATTTGCTTTTTAAAGCTATCGATAAAATATCAACAATCCTAGAAAAAACAAGGCGCGCAATCTTCTTGACATACATTTTTGTGGACACTGAAAAATATCTGCTTTGGGGGATACTTTAGTTCAATATGAGTGGGTTTTCCGGTAAACGAAAATATCCAGCGAACGGCAATATTGCAAGAAATGGTCAAGCAGCAGGAGGAAAACAGCAAAAACAATGGTTTGTTGATGCTGCTTACGGAAATATTCCATTGAAAATTTGGTATTTTTCTTTAGGAACGATGAAGAGGATGATGACTTCGATGGCATGGATGCTGATATAGCGGGTGACGCCTTTGGTGAAGATGTAGATCCAAGCATCTTGGTAGGCGAAGGGCCAGAAAATCAACAAACCTCCGTGAAATGGTCTCGTGTTGATCCACCTAAACTAGACCCTTCTTCCGATGAATTAGTATTTCAGCAGATTGACATTGAAAATTATTTGGGCGAACCTTTGCCAGGCATGCCCGGAGCGCAAATTGGACCAGTACCAATAATACGTATGTTTGGTATTACTATGGAGGGCAACTCAGTGTGTTGCCATGTGCATGGTTTTTGTCCATATTTCTACATTGCGGCACCTCGCAGTTTCGAACGTAATCATTGCCATGCTTTGCGTGAAGCTTTAGACAAAAAGGTGCTGGCCGATATGCGCAGTAACAAGAATAACGTGCAGGAAGCTGTGTTAAAAGTTGAGCTTGTAGAACGTCTAAACATTTTTGGTTATCAAGGCGATGCGCTGCAGCGTTATATAAAGATAACAGTAACAATGCCTAAATTGGTGGCAGCATCTGTGCGTCTACTTTCCAATCAGATAGTGTTGTCTGACTTTGATTTTCAGGATTGCCGTGCCTTCGAGAGCAATATCGATTTTGATATACGATTTATGGTAGACACACATGTAGTGGGTTGCAACTGGATTGAGCTACCTGCAAGGGCTTGGCGTATTCGGGACAAAAATTCAAAACCTTTACCTGAGTCACGTTGCCAAATCGAAGTAGATGTGGCATATGACAAGTTCGTATCACATGACCCCGAAGGAGAATGGGCAAAAGTGGCACCTTTTCGCATTCTCTCTTTTGACATTGAGTGCGCTGGTCGCAAAGGTATTTTTCCCGAAGCCAAAATGGATCCAGTTATACAGATTGCAAACATGGTAATACGGCAGGGCGACCCAGAGCCGTTTATAAGAAACGTGTTTACCTTGAACAAATGTGCGCCCATCGTTGGTTCGGATGTTCGTTGTTTTCCGAAAGAGACTGAACTACTAGATGCCTGGTCGAGTTTTGTGCGGGAAATTGACCCGGATATATTAACAGGCTATAATATAAATAATTTTGATATACCTTATCTTTTAAATCGAGCTGCTCATTTAAAGGTGAATAACTTTGAATATCTTGGACGTATTCGGAACATACGTTCAGTTATTAAAGAGCAAGTGCTGCAGTCAAAGCAAATGGGTCGCCGAGAGAATAAGTATGTCAACTTTGAGGGTCGCGTACCTTTCGATCTGCTTTTTGTGCTGTTGCGAGACTACAAGCTACGTTCGTATACGCTAAATGCTGTGAGCTATCACTTCTTACAAGAGCAAAAAGAAGATGTACATCACAGCATTATCACAGATTTACAAAATGGAGATGAGCAGACTCGTCGACGATTGGCTATGTATTGTCTAAAGGACGCATACTTGCCTTTAAGACTGCTCGACAAACTAATGTCCATCGTAAACTTTATGGAAATGGCTAGGGTCACTGGAGTGCCTTTAGAATCATTACTCACACGTGGTCAGCAAATAAAAGTATTGAGTCAACTCTTACGTGCAGCGCGTACCAAAAACTTCATAATGCCTGCGTATCAATCAAAAGCGTCCGAGGAACAGTATGAGGGTGCGACAGTTATCGAACCAAAGCGAGGTTACTATGCAGATCCAATAGCAACGCTCGATTTTGCTTCACTATATCCTAGTATTATGATTGCACATAATCTCTGCTATACAACGTTGGTGCAGCCAGGCATGAAGGAGCGTTTAGGGCTTACCGATAAACAAGTTGAACGAACGCCAGCTAATAACACGTTTGTGCGTGCCGAAGTGCGTCGTGGGCTTCTCCCAGAGATTCTGGAATCGTTGCTGGCGGCGCGTAAGCGTGCCAAAAATGACTTAAAGGTAGAAAAAGATCCTTTTCGACGTAAAGTGCTCGATGGTCGACAATTGGCGTTGAAAATATCTGCTAATTCTGTGTATGGCTTTACTGGGGCACAAGTTGGTAAACTGCCCTGTCTTGAAATATCAGGCAGTGTTACGGCTTATGGACGCACAATGATCGAGTTAACAAAAAATGAAGTAGAGCAGCATTATAAAATTGCCAACGGCTATGAAAATGATGCCGTTGTAATCTATGGCGACACTGATTCCGTGATGGTTAATTTTGGTGTCAAAGGTTTAGAACGCGCAATGGAGCTTGGTCGTGAAGCCGCAGATAAAGTAAGCGCAAAGTTTGTGCGGCCCATTAAATTGGAATTCGAAAAGGTCTACTACCCATATTTGTTGATCAATAAAAAACGTTATGCGGGATTGTATTTTACGCGTCCAGAGACTTATGACAAAATGGACTGCAAAGGTAAGCCGCTGTTAATGATATACGTTTTTGACAAATCATATCACAATTCCTTCCATTACAGGCATTGAAACCGTGCGTCGTGATAACTCACCGCTCGTTGCGAATCTCATGAATACTTGCCTGCAAAAGCTACTCATCGAACGTGATCCTGATGGCGCTGTCGACTATGCGAAACGTGTAATAGCTGATTTGCTTTGCAATCGTGTGGACATTTCCCAGCTGGTGATTACTAAAGAGCTGGCAAAAACAGATTATACTGCCAAGCAAGCGCATGTGGAGCTAGCAAACAAAATGAAGAAACGTGATCCTGGCACTGCACCTAAGTTGGGCGACCGTGTGCCTTATGTCATTTGTGCGGCAGCAAAAAATACACCCGCCTACATGAAGGCTGAAGATCCATTGTATGTGCTGGAGAATTGTGTGCCTATCGATGCGAACTACTACCTAGAGAATCAGCTATCGAAACCATTGTTGCGCATATTCGAGCCACTGCTAGGCGATCGCGCCGAATCTATTTTACTGAGTAAGTTGAAAGTGCCACGCGACCTCAAATGCGCACTAACATTCCTTATTCTTACAGAGGGTGAGCACACACGCACGCGTGCGGTGGTCACGTCAAAAGTTGGTGGTCTCGCCGGTTTCATGACAAAGAAATCCTCGTGTCTTGGTTGTCGTGCGCTTATGCCTGCTGGCTACGAAAAAGCGGCGCTATGTCCGCATTGTGAGCCACGCATGAGCGAACTTTACCAGCGCGAAATACTAGCAAAGCGCTCTCTTGAAGAGACGTTTTCTAGTTTATGGACCGAGTGCCAGCGTTGCCAAGGCTCCTTGCATGAGGAAGTGTTATGTTCGAATCGTGATTGTCCGATTTTCTATATGCGTCAAAAGATACGCATGGACCTGGATACGCAGGAGAAACGTGTGCAGCGTTTCGGGCCGCCGGATTGGTGAACTGTTTATTTTTGTATTGTGCATGTTTAGCGTTTAACTGCTGCTAGAGAATGATATTATTTTGCTTTTTTACTAAATGGATATCTGATATTCAGCTTGCTTGGGAAGAATAAATTTAATCGTTAAAAAATTTTAAAAAATCTTGGGCTATTCTATTGTAGGCAGAACCGTTGATGGAAGGAGATGCAGGCAGAACCATGATAAAAAATTACTGGTTTAAACATGGCAAGTTCGCAGAAACATTAGAAATCTACTTTAGTCTTTTCGATATAGAACCTGGTAAATATTTATCAGTATGTACATACATATAGTTACTAGCAGCAATCCTGAAACTGCGGAATTTGTACGCTGTTACAACAACAACTATAACTTAGGAACGACTCGCAAAGTCAGTAAGTTTATCTATATGAAAAGCGTTGCTAAGAAAACTGATAAGATTTAATGTACCGTAGTAATTATATAATCGCACATGAAGCTAGGGCCGATGTGATTTGTAAAAAATTACGTCAGCCACCTTTCCTCTGTAGTACATGTTGAAGTTTGAGATTTTTTTGTGGAATATTAAAAATTTTAATTTTTCATCCTTTATTAATGCTATTAATTAAATTTTTGACTTTTTATTTAAAAATATGCCGCGCCAATCGTTTACTAAAAACTAAGATACCTGCAATGCGCGTTGGTAGTAGAAAGCGCGGCGCTACCCTAATTCACAAGATTAATAAGATTACATTTTTACTGTTTTTTTTTTTTTTAAGAACAAAACTACAAAGTGTAACATATTAGCAATCTATGGGTGGATAAATTAAATGAAATGGTTCAACCAAAGAAATTTTTTATACAATGTCCTTCAATGACAATGTCATGCTTGATAATTTTGCCTTTCTATATTCTGCAACGCTTAAATGCTCTGCAACAAAAAGCTTTTGCTGATCGAAAATCAATTTTTTACTTTTACATGGGAGCGCCATGTGTTTTATGTTATCAATATGTTCTTATTAATGTACATTTGCAATTGCCTTTTGCGGTGTCTACAAACAAATTGCTTGATTTCATCCATATCATTTTTATATGAATGTATATATAAAATGCATATAATTACTTAAAATTATGAACAAATAAAAATATTTAAAGAGCTTTGTTTTTTTTTTTTTGGGAATATTAGGTATGGGTGAGGAAATTCTTTTTAATTTCTAGTGCACTATTTACGACTTTGCAACGTATTGGATAGCCAATCCATCGCCTGATCTAAGCCTTCACCTTTGGTCGCTGATGTTTTAAATATTTGGAAAGTACGATTTTTCAAATTTTCCAAACCGAGCGCATGATGCACCTCCGCAACTGTCATACAGCCCTCCATATCCTGTTTGTTGGCAAGCACAACGAGTATTGCGCCGGCAAGTTCCTCCTCCTATCGATGAATACAATGACACATTAACAAACTGCTAAACAACGTCATATTTATAAATCACTCACCCGCAGCATGTAGAGCAGCTCATCTTTAGAAATACCTATCCGATCTCGATCTGCCGAGTCCACTACATAAATGATAGCATCTGTGTTGCTATAGTAACAACGCCAATACGGTCTGCAAGCAAATAATTTATATAGTAATAAGTAACTCCATATAAATCTTGCAACATATTCATTCCTACAAACCTTATACTCGTCTGGCCACCTAAATCCCATACTTGAAATTTCAAATTTTTATATGTAACTTGCTCTACATTGAAACCGATTGTCGGTATTGTTGTGACCACCTCACCGACTTGCAGTCGATAGAGTATAGTCGTTTTCCCAGCGCCATCTAAACCCAATATCAGTATGCGCATCTCGCGTGAGCCGAGCAGACCACGAAAATAACTAAAAACACCACCTGAGAAGCAAAATAAATAGGAACTTGTAAGAATTGTAAGTAATGTGACATGAAGTGTTTTACTGCATCTGCTAACGACTGACACGACACACAACGCCGGGCAGAGTCATATTTGGCACACACAGTTCCTTGTGCACATTAGCCCGTCTGTCAGTGGTGTCACACATCGAACTCACCCATTTTGTATTTGTTTTTTAACACAATACGCTGGCAACTGTGATGGCTTCTGTAGTACGTTAACTTTATTTCCGGATTTTTTCTATACTAAATAATGCACATACATTTGATTAAATTAATATAAATACATATGTGAAAATAATCTGTATTTTCACTTTTTTTTACACAGACGATGTGTACGGTTCGAGGTATGTCAAAAATTGTGTAGCGGTTATGACGTGTCTGCGAAAAGTGCTGCACAGTGTTGCATTTGCAAGCGAAACGGTTCTAAGCTAATTCATTTGAGGGGGGTAGGAGACAAATCAGAGTAAAAAAAAAACAATTTTTTAAAAACTATTAGTGGGTATAAGATTCCATTTTGGCCAGTTATAAAATAAAAATGCAAACTCGCTTCAAAAACATTAACAGCGAAAATAAGTAAAATTACTAATATAAAAAATATATACTTGAGAAAAATGGTTTATCTAAAAAATTAATTGATTTAATTAGCTATTTATTGTTATCTAAAATTTAACAACTTAAATTGATTTAAAAAATAGTTCTTTTCCTGCTCATAGCCAAATTTTTTTATTTTATGTAGTTTGACACACCTTCCAACCATGTAAAGATAAATGCCGCTGTTTTTTTATATTTATTTATTGCAATCACTTATTAACTGCATTAAAATTATTTTAAACTTCAATTATTTTTTAAGATTAACGATTATTGAAATGATTACACTTTTCGGCAATCGTTATGTGCCTTAAAATATGGTATTTATATTCCCCTTACTAAACTTATAAATATTTTGGATAGCTTTTTACAGTTCTTGTTTTATAATTTCTGACATTCTCTATGTTATTTTTTTTTTTAAATTATATTGTAATTTGCAAAACAATACTAAAAATTTGGGTTATATAGGCTTACGAGAGCCTGTTCGGATTTAGTGGTTGTATTAATTTTTTTATTATTTTAGTGCTGTAATTATTTGTGATAGTTTATGTTTTTCTGTAATTCCGTTTTTATAAATATATATTCTTAAAGCACACATATAAACATACATATTTAGTTTAGTATTTTAAAAAATTTAAACATAAAAAATTTCTACAAAGTGTTTTCCCTTTCCTTTTATATACTAATTATTTAACTGTATTTATCTTTTTTTTTCAAATTAGAAAAGTACTGAAGTCAGTATATGTCACTGGTAAAAAATGCTTCTTAGTAAAAAATACTTAAATGTGCTAGAAAATATCAGTCGGAAATCTTATTAACACTTTTATTTGATATTCAATTCCCATATCAGAAGCTGAGTAAGTGGATGCTATAGAAAATGTGTGTTTTTGTATTTATTTTAATTAAATATTTTTATTAAGTCTAAGCTAAGAACGAAAGCTTATAAATTATGAAAATTATATGTTATAAAATAAGCAATTATAAAATAATCAAAATTTTAAGATATAGATAATAAATGAAGATAACACTTCTTTTTTTGCTGCTTTTCCCTAATTTTTTAGTGTAAAATAAAAAGCGGTGTAAAAAATTGGGTGACCTAACCTAAAAAGTATTATACAAAAACAGGATAGTAATAAAAAATAGCAAATTAAATTCCTGAGTGCGACACATCCAACCCAAATTCGAAAACGAAAATCATGCCTCCAAAAATTTTATCTACAAAAAAAAAATTGATAATTTAAAAATATTTCGAGCTTCAAAGTAGGCAAACTAAAAAACAAATTCAACTGCAAACATCAAATATATGAATATATTTTGAAACTTTATTTCTTATTTCGTAAATATCTAATAGTTTACTTATAAGCAGTTTAAAATAAATTTATATGTAGTTTAAATGGTAATGTGAACATAATTGCAAGCATGTTTTTGGATGACTAGAGTGTTTAGTGCAAACTGTTTTAACTTTTTTGTATTTGTTTTTAAACATTCATTTTCATTTAAGTATATTTTGTTACTTTAACACTTGTTTGATTGCATAAAAATTGATGCTTTGAAATGTAGTTTTCCTTGTGTAATACTTGCAATATTTTAACAAATACATATTTACGGCATATATTAAATATTTTTGTTTTTAAATACATTTTGTTCAATGAATAAATTGAAGCATTTTTTGTTTTAATTTTGGTACTATATTATATTATTAAGATTTATTTCTGTGTTAACAGCATAAAAGATTTCCAGTAAATTTGTAGGAAATTTCAATGCTTATCAATGTGAATGTAGCTTTTTGTGTACTTCATATGTATGTATACTTAAATAAGAAAAACACAAATTTAATTTTTTTTTTGCCATTTTTATGACATTAATATTTGGTGTTCTGTTACCACTTCTTCCTTTTTCAATTTCAATGCTTTTATGTTGCTTTTTCGTGTGTCCTTTTTTTAATTTTTGGTTTTAGGCTAAGCTTCAAAATACGCATTAACTGAAAAGAAGCTTTATTTTATACTCAAATAAAATACAAAAATTAAAATTTCGCACGGACTAAATTGAGGTTTTTCTACTGCTACTAGATGTTTTTTATTTCTTGCAGATTTTGTTTTTAATTTATTTAGAAATCAGCGATGCATTTTTTTGGTGGGAATCAATTATTTTACAGTGCAGAGTGAATTTAAAGCAGCATATGCTGGTGCTGAATAAAAAAATTAATTTACAATCAAAGTTTGTGCACTTTTAGAATTTACTAGAGCTATTTGTTGGCTTTTTGTTACCACTGTTACTATTATTGCTACAAAATGTATATACTAAATTTATTTTACTTTTACTGCAGCCACTTTGCCGACGACGGCCATCAATCAAACTGATTTTTCTTGGTGGGAAACATGCATGGACGCGCTATTACATGCTTATTACAAAAAAAAGTTAATAAATTTGGTTGTTTTATTCCAAATTTTTCACTCATCTAGAAGCGCCGTATTTTTTTGAATCCTAATGTTTTCCTTGCAAAAAAAGTAACAACACTAATGTGCGTGTTTGCATCGTTCATTGTAATTTTTGCTTTTTATACTAACAAATATGCATTAAAGTTATTATTAAGCCAGTTAAAAAATTTAACTTTGAAAGAAATTTCATTTGAATTATCGCATCGGCATTTTTACGCCGCAAAAACAAAACAAGCTTTCGAAAGTAGAAGCCAATCGATTTTACAATAGCTTATATTTATTTAAATTTTGTAGCAATTTTTTAAATGGCGTAAATATTTCTTTTAGTATTAAGGCCTCTAAAAATCAAAAAAATACATAACTAAATTATATAAACGTAAAAATCAAACGAACTTTTCTTGAAATATATATCCTTTTTATGTAAAAGTTAGTTTTTATTAAGGAGCTTAGACTCTGTGCTAGTAAATTGCTCTTTCTTAGTACAAATATTACGAACATTGCTTTTTTTGTCTATTTAGAATTGGTATTTCTGCTTTGATTTTATGTATGTATGTATATAAATACAACATTAGTATGTATGTTTTAACTTGTTCATACGGGTTTATGTCTTTTTTTCCTAACGAATATTGAATTTTAAATAAATTAAAGCAGTAGCTTGCGTTGGAAAAGTGACTTAACCATCATCAATAAGTACTGCTGATTAGTATTTTAAGTTAGGTACAGTATATAGCAAAATGTATTGTTATTTAAATGCAACTATAAATTAGAAACAATTTTGAATTTTNTAGCTTGCGTTGGAAAAGTGACTTAACCATCATCAATAAGTACTGCTGATGAGTATTTTAAGTTAGGTACAGTATATAGCAAAATGTATTGTTATTTAAATGCAACTATAAATTAGAAACAATTTTGAATTTGCACACTTTTTAAAAATTGGTTTACACAGAAAGATTTAAGTTTAAGAAAAGTCAAAACATCTGGTAGAACCTCGCATCATTATGGTCTCCATCCAATAAAAAAGGAATTAAACTTTTATTGCAAACTGTGCAACTAAGCCTCTGTTTTAAACCACATTTTCCAACGGCAAACAACACTTTAAACTTTATTAATATCTTTGTATTTATGTATGTACTATATTTAATTAGCACGTATGACACCAAGAAGTTTTAGAAAAAAAAAATACATATATACATATGTATTTGCTTAACAAATAATTTACTATATTTCTAATGTCATTCCCAATGCATTTTTCCTACAACGCACACAATATCTTTGTGCTAACATGAATCGGTTTACTTTGACCACACAGACGGCTACCCAAACTGCAAATGCATTACACTTTTCCATGCATAAATATCTATGCAAACGTCGTTCTGATCTTGCTATAATAAATGTTCGCTAAATTTTTAACTGAGTTCACATGTTAGACAGTATATTCATTATGTCGGAAATAATAAAACGGTCTAACCTTAACTTAAAAAGCTCACTATTATGCATGTACATGTATGCGCAGAAATTAAAGAAATAGCCTTGTTATCTAAAGCTTTTAAGATTGGCAATCAATATGAATAAAAAAGTTTAAGCACTAATAATTACAGTTGTGGTAAAATAAATACAATACAAATACAACTACGTACTTATGATGCACATCGTAGTCAAATTTATTCAAAATTTGTTCACGTATTTTCCACCTAAGCGTAATTAATCTTATAAATTATAATAACTAGGTTTACATATAATACAGCGAAAGGTTAATGCGTTTAGCAAATGCTTTTTGTGGCTTATTACTGTCAATTATTCAAGACTAAGGGTTGGCCTTGTAACAACGTACATACTTTAGAAGCGTCATCACGACTAAACCACTTAGGGCCGTTTTTACAGTGACGAGTTAACTCTCATTCGGCTGTTAACTACATGTTTTTAGTACAAAAATTGACGGTTAACAGCCGAATTTGAGTTAACCCCCCACTGTAAAAGAGGCACTTAGTCATACTATTCATTTACTTGACTACTTCCTTTTAAATAATGCACTTAAAAAAAATGCCATTGATTGTATACTTTCCAGCCCAGCCGTTTTTGCCTACACATTTGCTATGGGTGCATTGCGTGTCTCCGCATCCCGATTCGACTTATCCTACACATACTGATAGTGTGCTAGCTCTGTGCCACCACCTTCACCATCAGCATTACCACGCAATAATGGCTCTTGTTCCACAGTTGTACGTCCCACCTGCATATCTAAATCGTAGTAGTTCATCCAATCGATCCGACGTGGTTGTACCAAACCAAAACAGCTGCATTGTAAGAAGTCGAAGAAATTGTTGATTGGCCCACGTGTGAAAGGACTTTGTCCACCTTTCGCTTGAAAATGTCGATACCGTCCACGATTCATGCGCTCATTTGTTGTCATTCCTAGGCATACGACTTGATATGTCTGGCATATTGTCAGCAACACAACCCATGAGAGATGTAGTAATGCATTAGCCATAACCCAGCCAACCCATGGATTGCAATTGGCTATGTCACTGATGGCTTTCTTAAAATCCTCAAGCGGTACGAGAGTTAAATGTACATTGCATTGATATATATAATAACAGGCGCCGCCGTATAACATCCAACCGCACATTATGAGTAACATCCAGAGGAAACCCATGAAATAAGCGTGATTTTTAAGTCCAATGCAATTGCCAACCCAAGGACAGTGATGATCGAAGCGTGCAACGCAGCGATCACAAACGCTGCAATGTTTTGAACGTATGGGTCGCCGTACAAGACAACCTGAACAGAAGGAAGAAGGCTCAAAACCAATGCCACCACGTTCTGATAATTCGATAATCGTCTGAAATGAAAAAAAACAACAATTATTTTTTATAAGAACTTCTCACAAATATTTTAGCGTGCAGTTATTATATACTCTCTTACTTTAAATCGTTGTTCCTGCGTTGGTCGTATGATGCCCGGATCTCCCTTCCAAGACTTGATGAAGCACACCCAAAGCGCTGCGGAGCAAGACAGAAAAACCACCGTTTCGCCAAAAGAAACCGCGTCTACGATATAAACAATCCACGTTACATAGAACCATGCCTTCGAAGCCAGATATACGCTTAGTGGGAGCAACGCCAACAAGTGTTCATCGAATAACGCTTTTCCGAGCGTATGGAAAATGGCGTAGAGACAGCCAAGCAGGAAGAATTTAATAATATACAGTGTATTCAGTGTAAATACTACACCTGCCAGATAGAAGGCGGTAAATGGACATGCCACCATTGCCCACCAACGTAGACGCTTATCATGGCGTAGTCGCGATATTCCTGACCGTTGGGGTTGTGATTTGTGTGAGGCCTCACGTACGCGATCTAATACTTTAGCTCCAATCCATATGGCGCCCGCTTGTGTTTCCAGCATCGATAGGGGCGTTTCGCCGCGCAGGTTAGGAACGTCGAGGGAGGCGCGTGATTTGAGTACTAGCGTAGAGATGGCAGTAGCATTACGGGCGAGTATTGCCCAGTGTAACGCTGTATTGCCGTGTGTGTAATCAACCATGGCGGGATTAGCCCCAAGTGTGAGCAATAAACGTACAGGATCTAGTGCGCAAACCTAATGCGTAAAACATTGAAAATGTAGTCACAAAGGGGAAACCATAAATTTTTATAATAAAATTCCATACTTTCCATGCCGCCCACATAAGCGCTGTCATTCCGCCACGATCCTGCAAATCTGGATCCACACCTTTTGCTATAAAGTATGCAACTAATGCCGTGTGCGCAAACTGAGCTGCAATATGTATGCAGGAACACCCCTCAGCATCTCGTATTCGCGGGTCAGCTCCAGCATTCATAAGCAAGACAACAGAGGCAAGATGTCCTTGACGTGTGGCCCAATGCAAAGGTGTAGCATTCAATTCGCCTCCTATTGCATCCACAATGGCGCCTTTCTCCAGGAAATAACGTATTATGTCGCGTCTATTATTGATAGCTGCCCAATGGAGCAGTGTTACTGTCTCACTATCAGGCTGATTAACATCCCAACCTGATTCAATGAGTTCGCGCACACGCGCTATAGCTCCATATTGCGTCGCTTTGACAATATCAAAACCACTGTAGTCGGGCTCCACGGGCGCAGTGGGCGGTTGTTGTGCCATTAGCGCAGCCTGACGCTCTGCTTCGCGGTCATTTTCAGTACCGGGTGCGCACGAGCCAGTCGTAGCGACATTGCAGGCGCTCTGATACATGATGCTTAGTATTGATGTTAAGGAATATTTGAATTGAAAGGAATATTTCTATACCAACTACAAAATATAAGCGTGTATAAAGATTATAAATGGTAAATAACAAAGTAAAAATGCACATAGTCAGTCACCCACATTTCCTTTAGCAGCTATTTTCGCTGGGCTAACCACTGGTGTCCTGAAATATGAATCAGCCTGCTTCCGCTGATGCTATCATTAAACGCAAAATTGCGTTGGTATGAGTGACGGTGCACTCAATCCAGCATTTAAAAATAATTAATAGCACCTTACGCAAAACAAAATTGAAGATATACTTAATGCATATTATGAAAGAGTCATTTATATATGGAAATCCACTTTTTAATAGATAGCCTGTATATTCTGGAACGTAAATTTTCCAAAACCCAAAAATTGTATCACGCAACCCGAAAAATGAAGATTACACTCCAAACTTTTACCACTTTTGACATTTCAATTGACAATTCTCTGCTTGTTGACAGTGGGGGTGACATTTTTTTAGCAGCTGTGTGTGTGTATTTATTTTGTATGCGGGCGAAAGTGCTACCAAAAGAAAGTCACCCAACTTGGAATGCTGCCATATTAAATTAAAAAGTTATACCCCTTCGTCCACAAATTCTATATTCAGTCGACTTACAGATTGCATGTAAAAAATTCTCAATAAAACACCTATCGACCTTGCGGCAAAGAGCCTTGCTGCTAAATCCGCGGGGAGACTGATTGCAATAGGGTACTTCAAGCAAAGAAATACTGGCCAGAGCTTAGCCAAAAGGGTATGTAGCCACCACGGACTGGCTCAAAAAATAATGATGAAGTAGGAGAGGGAGTGTACTGCTCTGAACTTAGTGTTCGTCGGCTCATCAAGCTGACGGATCACTGCAGTATATTCCAGGAAGGGGTTTTCGCAGTCGGAAAAGCCGCTGTGCTAGCCTACTCAATGACTGAAAATAACTGTAAAGTTAACTCATACCAATTTACGTCACAAAATGCAACAAAAAACAGGCGGCTGCATATTTATTGGGTCTCCGGCCACAAGGGCATTACAGGTAACGAAATTCCACTTGGTTCTAGAACAAGAGAACAACATTCCGATACCGCTTAAAAGGCTTTATAACGAAATAGATCAGAGGGTGAAAAATCCGACCATATCGAAATGGAATGGGCTAAACACCTGTAAAATCTCTAAAGAAATATTCAGACTGGAAAACGGGACACAAAGCCGGTTTATACTATCGCTGGCACGAAGAGACTGCAGAACTATGATAGATGTCCTAACAGGACATAAAAAGTTGGCAGCGCACGCAAGCAATAGGGGGATTGCTGTCAGTGAAGTTTGCAGGAGATGCATGGGGACGGGATCAACGGGGACCCTAGAAAACATCCTACGCCATTGTCCTGCTGTATCAAAAACACAATTGAAATATCTGGGAGCCCAGAGTTTAATAATCTTGAAGACGTGACAACACATCCTAAGTGATGTATACTTCGAACATACTTAACTGAACCTCTATCTCCATCTGTTATCCCTAGGGACGTATTGGTCTATGTGGGGCAGGCAGCCAGCCAGAATAACCTAATCTTACCTACAGATTGCATATATTTAGTTTTGAATCTTTGCTAAAATTATATCCAAACTTGATAACGGATTACTCTGCTTTTGCTCGATTAAGGGCTGCTGTTTCGGTGATCTGACCATGTTTAGGTCGGCCAAAACTCTTTACGTTGTTCGTCCATAGGGCAACATCTGCTCCGCATTCTTTTGCACTGGGCTGGCATCGAGTCAAAACCTGAACTAGAAATCTATACCTGTTGCGTATGCCAGAGAAGATTAGACCTAAACTACACTTCAGTTAGGTGCATACTTGCAATGGATGTAGTCGTCTCCGAACCTGTTCAGGCCTCAGGACTCACCGACAGTGGATCAAGTCATTCGTGGCCTTGGGCTATTCTAACCTAACAACAACACGGCTGCCACAATGACCCACAACATATAGCACGTATCCCTCCCACCAAACAGCCAGGCAGAATCTATGGCTCACCTAAAGAACACAACCATAACGCGCCCCACCACTCGCAAGACAACCACGCCCCACTCAAACGCCGCCGCGGGCCACAAGCGAGGACAAATCAACAGCTCCAAATTTCTCACAATGCGACATCACACACGACAACGACACAACCGACAAGGGCAAATACCCTCCGCGACGCCGCCTACTAACACCACAATTTAGCACATACAAGAAATACCGGGCCGGCAACACCACACCTCATTTACACCCCGCATTGTCTTCGTGGGTCAGCAAGGAATGTTGATAGCTGCGGTCCAAGAGACGAAATCACACAGTAATTCTACATTGTTGACCTGCGTTCATCACGAATCACGTCTCATACCATACAGTATCGTTTTATCGAAGTAGACATAAACCGCAGTGTCACCATCCTAGAACATTAGTCAGATTATTTCTATGCGGTCAGGCGATGTCATGCTTGAAATATTCAACGCTTACATACACCCTGTTATCAGCTACCCAGCAGGATATCACCCTGATATAGGTGCGCTGCTCAGAGGTGAAAACCGGATGGTAGTGGGTGACAGCAACGCGTACCACGATTATTGGTATTCAAGCCGGTCGAGCGATCGTAGGGGAATATACTTGCCAAATCCATAGACGCTTGGATATTCTGCGCAATGGACAACAACGCACGTATCAAGACTATGGCCAGCTGCAGTAGCTCACCCGATATACATAACAATAGTAAGCGCTGGTCTGATAAACAGCAAAACGTGACCAGGCCGATGACGGAAATCTGCACGTCAGGGATGTTAACGCAGAGATTCGAAAACTAGTAAACCTACGTCAGCCTAAGAAAGACTTGCAATATAACCTTGCCCGACGAGGTTCGACGATAAAGTGCAAATCCCTTTCGGCGACCGCGTCTCGTCAGACTCGGAGCGATGCGCATGCTATTTTAGCCCACGGTTCGCTCTGCATCCTACGGTGGACTGGGCCAAACACCGAAGGTTGCACAAACAGCGAACAACCAGTGCGCCTCTTGCTTTCACCAGCGGTGAGGTTCTGGTAGCCATAGGAAAGGCGAAAAACTGTCCTTGGTCCCGATGGAATAGACTACATCACCAAGGTCCTCAATCTCCGCCTCTGTGAGAGAACAGTCGTAGTAGCGTTGGATCTGTCAAAGGCGTTTGACACCGTCTGCCACTCCAGGCTACTAGAGGATATTAAGGCTACCACAGGGACTCAAACGGTGGTCAGCGAATTATCTGAGTATTCGGCATTCGTCACTCATCTCCAGAGATAAGAAGAAGTAAACAGGGTGTCTTAAAGGGTGGTGGCCTTTATCCGTTTATGTTTAATTTCTATATTCCGAAGCTTCCTCAACCATGAAAAGAAGGGGCTCCATCATTTCATAAGCTGACGATTGCTCGATAATGGCGTCAGGAAATGGAATTGATGACTTGTGCTCGAATGTAAATGGTTACCACTCCGAAATTTCTCGCTTTTTCACTGCAAGAAGCTCTCTCCCCTGCGAAGTCCTTGGCGACCCTTTTTGCGACCTGGACGAAAGAGGTAAGATGGCAGGTGGGAATACGCGTCGACGACAAATCAATTCCGACAGTGAACAATCCCAAATTACTCAGAGTTATCTTCGACAGTCTGCACTCTTTCTCGGCGTACACAACCAGAATTGTCAATAGAGTAGAGTCGCAGCAAGGTCCTCAAGTCACTAGCCGGCAGCACCTGGGGCAAAGACCCCGTAGCACTCGTGTCGTCGGTGGGGACTAGCAGGACACAGTGCATGCGGACGGACATACATGGCTAACTCGATTTCTCTTTTCATTCTCAGCATTTTATGTGTACATATGTCTATATCTTTATCGATTCCTTTAGGCTGTTGTAAATGACCGTTACGTGAACAAAGTTAGTATACAAGTGCGCCCGGGTGTAAAAATACGAATTTCTTTTTTCCATTTTCTATAATTCTGGAGGACTGGGGTGACAGCAGCAAAATTTCCAAAAAGTCAATTTTCTGTGTATTTTGGACCACCCGTATAGAGTAAAATTTCCTTTTCCTCACTCAATTTTCTTTTTCGTATATGTTTGTCTTACATTCCTTTTATTTGACAGTATAATAAAGTTAAATAGTTTGACACTTAATTATGCAATGATGATAAAATTAAAAAATATACATTTTATTCTTTTCCATAATGCGTTTAAGATACGTTAAATATGTGTTTTTAATGAGTTTTACAGCACTGTACGAGAATGAGTGCTTTTAAAATTAGTCAAGGGTACGAAATTTATCGATTACTGAACAAAGCGATTTTTTTCAAGGATAAATATAAATATTTTTATTTTTTAAATTGTTACAAAATCGTTATTTTTTATATCACAAATAACGGCTAAATTATAAATATTATTTTTTCGGTCAAATTTAATCGTTATTTTGTGATTTTTATCTTGTTTGACCAAAAGTAATCGTTATTTTATATTTTAATTTTTTTCGTTACTTTTTAATTTATGATCTAAAAAAATATAAATAAAAAATAACGCTTAAAAATGCGTCGAATAGATAAAATTCCAAAAGTGTCGATTATGTTTGATCGTAAAAATAAAACTATTAAAATAACATCTAAATTTTAACGGAAAATAGAAATAAAAATTTAACGGTTAAATAACGATTTTTATTATAAAGATTATAAACGTTACGGTCCCTGTTATTTTAACCCTTTCAGTACAATCGTCGAATATATTGAACAAACTTTTTTTGTACTTAAATAATAAAATAACAGTTGTTTTGAGAAAAGTGTATTATTCTCATTTACCGCATTTCTTTTGCTGTATTTTCGAGATGCTGGTAACCGTGTTTTTTTCACAAAACTGAAAAGAGTCACAAAAAGCGATATTGAGTAGTTAAATATATACGAACAAATTAACTATTTTTTGGTTGAATTGAGATCCGAAAAAAATGTTAAATGTTATTCTCAGGCTTGAAATATATTTCGCAAAAGAAAAAAGAAAAATTATTGATATCACTTTCCTGTTTACAAATCTAGAGAACCACTGTCCAATATTATGGACGCTGAATAACGGTAAAACTAAGAGTTTAATAAAATCTTTGATTGTGTTTTTGAAATCAATGACCCAAAATTAGCCGGTAAACAAATTTTCAGATTTTTAGCTTCAGCGGCTGATTCTTTGTACTGAGAGGGTTAATTCAGCTAAAGCCTCATTGAGAAACTTCGTATTTCTAGATTATAAGCACTCATCCGTCAGCCACGCTTCCCAGTTATTACTTTATTTAAACATACATACATATATGGCTTGTTATTTTATATCTTCGTTTTCCAGCCTTTTTTTTTGGTTCCCAATCAATGAGGATCAATCAACTTGCTTCCTATTTTTAAGCCTATGATATATGTATTTCATATTCTACGTTTCATGTCGTGGGATATATAATGTATAATATAAAAAATAACGTTTACAACGATTATACGCATTTTTTTGTTAGCTCTTATATTTTACAAAAAAGTTTCTGACTTATATAGTATACATGGTTTTGTTTTGTTATTTTTTGTTTTATTAATAGGTTTTGCATTTGGGGTTAGGATCTATGTATGTGCTTTTGTTTTTTTTTTGTATTGTATAATATAATTTTTCTTTTTGGTTTCTACTGTTTTGGGCTGGATAAGTGTTGGTTGTTGTTTATTCTCCACTACATTTAGACTTTTAAGTATTTCTTATTTAAATTCCTTAATTTGTCGCCATGCAAACCGATTAATGATATGAGCGTGAAATTCGTGTCGAGCATGCAATCTATTTAAGTAAAAAAGCTACATTGCATTAGAAGAAAAAGGGCATAAGCTCATTATTTAGTTACCTAAACAAATTTTGAAATAAAAAACAGCTTAATAACTATTTCAGTATTTATAGTACAGGGTTATGTTGAAATAGAGGTAGTGAGCGCAGCTGAGAGCTTACAATTTTATTTGTAGTTTCTGTGTTTAGGTGGGCCGATGCATATTTGCTTGCGCTTAAAATTATTCAGCATTTGCAATTTTTCTTTGTGTTTTAATTAGTCTCTAATAATTGTGTGTGTCTTTAATATATATGTATATGTATTTTTATTAAGAGCAGTGTTTTGATATAAATATGTAGAATTCTGTGATTTAAAATGGCAATCAATTTTTTTTCGTAAATTTAATACATATTCTTTATTACTTTTTTATATATTTTTTGCACATAAAGTGTTTGCTTTATCGGTATTTATTCATTATGTGTGTATATAAAGCTAAAGTATTGTATCTGTTAAAATACACATGTATTTTTTATATACAGATCTTTTCTTTTTCGAAGCAAGCAAGCTGCGCTCAATTACTTTGTTGAATGTATTGCCTAATCTGTATGATTAAATACTGTAACAAAAGGCATGGATAAACAAAAATACAGTATTCAAATGTATGACTTTACTAGCAACACTCTTGTTAATCGACTTTTATCGATTGTTCGCTGAATGCTGTCATACGTAGTTAACGGAAGCGGAAACACATCAGTTGAATAATTTATTACAAGAATAAGTTCCGAGTATTTGCAGAGTTTTTCGTCTCATTGAATTTATAAAAGTGGTTTTCACACTGTTGCATTATCGAATATGGTAAAAATAAAATGTTGAAAAGTGATGTTAAGTGGTATAAAGTATTTGCTCTTTAAAGCAATTTTTCGCTTTTTTATTTCTTTTGTTATTTCGTTCTTCCATCAAACGAGCAATAAGACGTTGGTAGGCTGTGAAGGAATCTTCAAACGTGTAATTCTACATATGGCTACGGCCGTCTCATGACGTCCAAGCATCACCTAGTCGACGAAAGACAACGCTTTGCTTTGAAATGTTACGTCCCCCCGCTCCACCTCCTCTGCACATGAAAGGGCACCTGCACGATTTGAGGGTGGACAACGAGTCGCGTGGGGACCATCCGCTCGACGAGGCGCTACACAAAGTGACCCGTAAAGACTAGCTCATTCTTGGTGGTCCAATGCCGCCCATTAACATGTATAGAGGAAGCAGAAATGACAGAAGAGAAACGACTGGCGTGCTCTGTTGGACTCGGCAAAAATTGCTTAGGCGGTTACAGCGCCCATACATATGTACCTCAGCTGAACTCAGAAGTGGCACAACCTTTCCCAGAATGCTGATAACCTTGACGGCGGAAGATCTATGCACCGCGCCCACCGATGTCGCCCCCTCCCACGGGCGTTATTGAACAGAATTCTGAAATAGGACGTTCTTCAATCAAATTCTGAGATGGCGCGTTCTTCAACGAAATTCTTAAATAGGGCGTTCCTGAAAAGATTTCTGAGATAGGGCGTTCTTCATAGAAATTCTGAAATAGGGCGATCCTGAAAAATTTTCTTAAATAGGGCGTCGAAATACGATGCAGTCCCACGCACATATGTAAATTAGATCGTACCACAAACAAAGTTCACCGTATACCTTCGGAACTGAAGTAATTTTGCAATGCAGTTGCGAAAAAAAATATTTTTTTGCCCATGGGATCGTTTCGTTTACATTTTCCGTCATACATATCTTAGGCATTTGCAGTCGGATCTTAAAGTATAATACATATATTAATGTTCTTGTCCCGAGGAGAATTTAATTTTGTTCATTGACCTCACAAACATCGCTCTTGTACTTACCCAGCAACTGAGATAGTCACCCCAACGTACAACCCTAATGTCAATAAATTAAACCTCACCAAAAATCATTAAACTTCTGCTAAATAAGTATTTCGATTCGAAGGCAATTTCGTCTTTTTCGGTCTAACGTGCCTTTCAAAAATACGTTAAACGTAAGGGGTGTAGGGCGAACTTTTTCTGTTAGCGTGTAAGGTGGTGCGGCCTAATATACCTATAGTGTGGGTGTTAAATAATTTTAAACTCAGTTGTAAAAAAAAACTTACTGCGAAACAAACGAAATTAAACAAAAATCCAAAACTATATTCAAAAAAAGGATATAACACAAAAAAGAGCACAGACGTTTTTTTTTAATTTTTAATTTATTTAAGTTAATTTTTTTATTGCATAAATTAAAAACAATTACTTTTTTTCGCTGGTCTGTTGTAAAGTACAATATAAATTATTTAAAATTAAAAAAAAAATTTACGTAAAAATTATTGTTACAATTGTTTTTTTTTTGTTTGTAGGAGGATAATTAAAGGTTTGTCGGGGATAAGGTTTGAAGTAAACTTAAAATTATATGTGTAAAAATTTATTTTAAGATATTAAATGTTTGTAAAGTATTTTTATATATAAAATATAAAATTAAAACAAACAAAGCTTGAGAGAAGAAAATAAAAGTTTTTTGTATATGTAAAAATAAAACAACAACAGTTAAAATACAATTTTCTGCACTTTGAAAATATTAACTAGAATAAAAGAGTACATGCTTGTATGTAATTAAGGGGAAAGCGATTGGTGGTGTGCAAGACACAATTTGTCTAAAGAGTGAGCATAAGAAAGCAAATCATTGTAATTACATGCAAAAAGCAAATTCTTTAGGCATACCTAGCTGAGAGTAGAGTTATCTGTATGTTGCTTGGTTGGTGTATGTGTGGCAGCTCATACTACTTACAGTGCTCTTGCACGATATGTATTTGCACATGTAAATGCTACTTTTTTGCATGTTCTTGTATGTCTCATATATTAGAACGCATCAGGAAAGTTGCATTTACATATAGAAATACACATCGTGTAACAGGGCTCTTAGCTTATAAGTGGTCAACGTTCTGTTTTTTATATTACATACATGCACTTTTTTATTTTAAACATTTTTGGTTTTATTGTTTTTTTTTTTAAGGATTTCCTTTTGTTTTTTTTCGCATAACATCTCTAGTTTACTCGCTTTTCATTCATATGCAAATGCCTTTATAGTTACATAATTATATTTGATTAAAAAATATATGTATGTATGTAGATACGCTGGAGTTGAGATGTACATATGAGTTTTTTGCTTATTTGCTTGCATGCATGTACATAAGTATCATACATAAATATGTATTTATGTATATATGTAAATATCCTCAACATTTTTCGCTTTACCAATCTTTGCTCATACATTGTCGCTGATTAGATTTTCTTGCCTTTTATTCTTTTAGATTTTATTTATACTTTTCAGTTATATTTTTTCTTCTCATTCGACTTTATCGCACGCACACTTTCGAATTTTTCAACTTTGTTTTTGTTTTTTTTAATTTATCATTCTTCGTTTTTCATTTCACATTCCGCACATCTGCAAATATCCTTACACGCCCCTCTCATTCAACTGTGTCCTACTATGTACTTATATTGCTGCTGCTGATTTCGCTACTCATTTTTGTTTTTGTTTGGTGGTTGTGTGGGTTACTTAGTATGCATATGCATTCCCTACAAGACATTGCTGAGCACTTTAGGCAAAAATTCTCACACATTTACACTTTTGTTTTTGTAGTACGGCATAAATGAGTAGTTTGACTATTAGTACTGAGGACTTTCTGATGACAACATTGAGGGGAAAGTACTCAATTTTTTCCCATGGCCTGAACGAAAATGAGGACTTTGATAAGCACTTTTGTGATTAGGGATAATGATAATATGAGTACTCATATGATACTCAGCTGTCTTGTAGGGTTTGCATGCGTGCACGCCTGACACATTATTACGCATCTACATACTACGTACATACATATGCATGAAAGTAATGTTTTAGAGCTGCACTTAATAATTACATATAAACTTGATCAGCATCTTCTGTTAATTTCTTGTTGGTGAATGTCAGTATGTACATACTATGCATACCTTTCATATATTTACATATCTATATATTTGTATACGTATGTGTGTACTTCTTTGCTACATACATACTTATGTAAACCTAGCTGTGTATTATTTATAAATACATTTGTATGTATAGATACATATTAATGCATATCTCATTTTTCGTTCTGTTTCTGCTTTTTTGTATGCATGTACTATGTATGTATGTTTATATATTTATAGTAAGTAGTATTAATTCAATTTGTTTCTTGTTGTTTTGTTTTCTTTTCCGTTTTAATAAAAAAAATTGCAGCAATTGTTTTAGGAAAGTATTTCGCGGGGGGATAGGTAGCGCGTTAGCTTGTTTTTGTTTGTTTATTATATAATTTCTGTTTTGTTTTATCATATAAATATATATGTATGTTTGTATGTATGTATCTATATAATATTTATATCATATGTATATATACATATCTGTGTGTACATACATACGTGCATACGTAAGTGTGTGTGTGTGTACGCTAAATTATTTAAAAGCAAACAACGCAGAAATTAAATATTAATAAACATCAATTCCCACTGATGTTACGTTTTATTACTTAATTCGGGCGGATTTGGCGGACTACCTTCCAGCTGCTGATGCTGCTGCTGCTGGTTTGTTTGCAGTTGATTTTGTTGTTGCTGTTGTTGTTGGTTGTGTTGATGCAGCTGATGCTGATGTTGGTGCTGGTGCTGGTGCTGGTGCTGATGCGTTGTCGTCAGCAATGTCGGCACTGATATTGTTGTCGCTTGTGTGATGACCGTTGTTGCTGTAATCGTTTGTTGCACTGACTGCTGTTGATTCTGTGGATGTGTCGATTGTATTTGCATCTGTTGTTGTTGGTGTTGCAAACTTTGTTGCAACTGAGCCTGCGGTGTAGACATTTGTTGTTGATTCGTGTTGTTGCTGTCGAGGGTAAAAGAAAGTTGTGTTAATTAAGAATTAAGTATTTGCTGCATTTCTTAATCTAACTTATTTAAGATCTTAACTGTGCAAAGGAAATATTAACGAAATTTAAATTAAGCTTGGATTTTTAAATTTTCTTCGGTAAAAAACATCTGTTTTTTTTTAACCGACTTCACAAAAAGGAGAAGGTTATCAATTCGTCGTAATATTAAAATTTTTTTTTATGTATGTTACCGCATAACTTTGGACCACGTTAACCGATTTTGTAATTCTTTTTTATCGGAAAGGGTGATTCTATACTAATGTTGTTTAGATCCGATAATTGGATCGTGAAGAAATTAACGATAATCTTAAATTTTTATATGAGAATTGAAGTCGGACATTGAACAATGTCGGTGTCATTACGTTCATAATAATAAGCTGTCTCCATATGGAATTTTTAATAGTCACACATCCGGAACCCCGACAGGATTATTTCATTTTTAACCGACTTCAAAAAAAGAGGAGGTTGTCAATTCGTCGGATTTTTTTTATATATCTACATATGTTAACGCATAACTTTTGAACACGTTAACCGATTTCTCTAATTTCTTTTTTAAAGTAAAGTTGGTACCTCAGAGGTGGAACATTGGATCCTGAAGAAATTAACGGTGATCTTATATTTTTATATGAGAATTGAAGTCGGTTTTGTTTTTTTAACTTGTATTTTGTAGTGTTTCATTTATTAATTAAGAAAAAAAAGGAAGGCTTGCTAAACCTTGCTTCGAAAGGCATCCATACTCAAATCTATTGAGCCCTCATTTGTAATTCATTACAATTAAGTTGGAACTGCAATAGAAGCTCAGCTACGCTAGGCATCTCATATAAGCTTTTATCGTTTGTCTCTAATTTCAGCTATGCTCCTCTATAAACACTTACACTTGATATCCATTACACAATTATCTTCGCATATTTTATCTAGGCTTGACACTCTAAGACCTCTCCCTGCTTCTGTTTAATTTTTATATTTCCAAACTCCCTCAACCACCAGAGAAACTCGCACGCTAACGATAGCTCGATAATGGCGTCCGCCAATGGTTGCTTTCTCGCTTCTTCACTGCAAGTAGCCTAACCTCCGCCCACAAGAAATCCTCAGCAACAATTTTTAGCACCAGCACGAAAAAGGTTGGGCTACAGCTGCGAATCTCTCTCGACGGCGAACCAATTCGGACGGTGAACTACTCACCGATGTAATATTCGGCAGCCTGCTCTAAGGGAGCACAAAATCATGCTCAGCAAGGAATTGCTAATAGGGAGCTACAGACGTAAGCACCTCGAAAGGCACTTTACCTTTGTGGATGGGTTAAGTATAAACGGCATTCACAGGAAGACTGTCACCACCAGTTGCAGACAATAAGCTTCAACTGCCGAGAGACCCGCGTGATTCTGGTTCGATTACAGTCTGAATACTGTTACTTGTCCAGACTTGGCCCGACGTCCCAAAGGTATGTCCGGCATGTAGAGATTCCACCCACGATACCAACCATCCCTTCAAATAACAACTCAACCAAACTCAAATAACAGCATTCTCCCTCTAGTCACCCACCCTGTCAAAACATCACGTTTCCTGAGCCTCCCGTAAGTTGAATTTGACGACGACGATTGAAGGACTATTCCACCTAGGCTGGACTAATGGCGTTTTCTTTTCTCGAAAAACATGTCACCTTCTTATATGGCAACATTACCAGAGTGTAACACTTTAAGGAAAGAGCACGCAATATGCTTGTGAAGATGCTGAGAAACGAACATGAAAACTTGACGGCCCTGGCGCAGGGCAGAATAAAAGCAACATTATTTCGAGAAAAGAAAACACTGTTTCTATTTAATAATAATATGAAGTCTTCGAAGGAAGAAAATTAAAAGATTTATTCTGCAAACAGCTTGAGTTTCACATTTTTTTTATAACAATAGTAGTAACCGAGTGGGAGACTAGTAAATAAAGGAATTCAAATGCGCTATATCATACAGACGAGCAAGCATGATGGAGGACGCGTGATGTGGGGAAGTGTTTTTTTGCTAAAATGATTTATAAAGACGTTTTGGTAGCTGTTATGCTTCCCTGTGACGAAGAAGAAATAGCATTTCTTGGGGCTTGCGACCTCATAGACACTCCGAGACTTTTAAAAAGAGGCCCAACATGGAAAAATGAATAAAAAAAAAAAATGGAGTGGCCACTCCAAATATCAGACATCCATTCTGGTTGTAAAATTTTGGAATATTTTAAAACAATAGCTCTCCTGCGAAAACTTCGTCAATTCTAGAAGACTGATTGATGCATGAAAAGCTATTGTTTTAAGTTTCAAACTTCCATAATACGAAATTTCTAAAACTCGAACTAAAGTGAGTGGTAATAGCAATTAGAGAATTTATACAATAATATACATACACACATACATACATACTACATACATACATACTTTTATGCTTCCGTAACTCGAACTTCCACAGCTCGAATTTCTTCATAACTTGAATAAAAATGTTGGCACATACTACATTCTGTAAGTCGAATTTTTAAGGGAAGTCTCGAATTGCGTTGATTTTCGATTTCTTTTTCTGACGAACCTTGTTGTTCGAGGCAGTGCCTATTCGTAAAACGAATGATTTGCTTTCTTTATGAAAATGCTATTTGCTGTTGTTTATGAGTTTGAGTAACCTTCAAATGGTAAAGTGAATTAAAATATTTATCAGTGAAAACAAATGCAAACTAATGGAATGTTTAATAGTAAATTTGTATAAATCTTAAAAAAAAATATGTTTAAAAGTTAAAAATCATATGATTCTAAATAATGTTGGATTTCTACTAGGCATTAAATGGCAAATATTTAAAAGACAAAGTTTGACATTAAAAAATAATCGTGTCATTACGTTAAAATGGTCATTAAGTTCATTTCCACGTGAATTTTTTTTAAATGGCACCAATGTTTTGTCATTCAATGCCTAGTGGAAATTCGGCATAAGTCTTTATAAGGCGAACCTTTTCTTTGGATAAATGGTGATTCGAGTTATGAAAGTTCGATTGCATTTGAGAATGTCGAGTTATGCTAGAGACAAACATCGAAGTATGGCACCAATACGATTTATGCCTACGGTGACCATATTTGAATCGGTTAATTAATGACAATTTTGATGCAGTTCGGTTCGTTTAGAGGAGTTCTGTTGAACAGCATCACATTTTCTGTATCAGATAAATGCTGATTTATTCTCTTTGGTAATTAACTGATTGGCAGCTGAATATGGGTCACACAAATGAATTTTTCTATATAATTCTCCACAAACGCTAATAGAGCTTAAAACCTTCAATGATCCTACATTCATTATTTTTTAACCGAATTCACAAAAAGGAGGAAGGTTATCAATTCGTCGGAATAACTTTTTATTACTCGTCGGCATTTTTTCCTCAGATATTTGAACAATGATCAATAACGGCTAATTTCTACTCATACTAACAAGTACCCAGTTTTCATACTCAAAACTATAAATTATGAAACTATCTACATATATAAATATGAGCTCCTTGATTCGAATCCCAAGCACACAGATTTAAAAATAAAGGCACTGGCCCAATGCAGGCTTGCTTTGCTCGCTTTGCTGACTTTAATTTGCTTTGATTTACTTTGAAAACTTGTTTAGCCGAATGGCGGCTTGGAACGCTGTCAAAGTAACCAGCTGTCTGGTTGAAAAGTCAATGTCTGTTCCCTTAACATTAATAATTATTTACCTAGAAAACTAGAAAATGTATCAAAAACTTTCAGATTTATTTTTAAATTAATGCGAATTAATGTTTGTATTTAAAAGAAATGGTAATAATGATACATATATATGTACATATATCTACATTTACTAAAAAACTATAACTTACATAAAAAAGCGATTTACTTGAAGAAAAGAGCTATAAGAATTTTTTTTTATCTCGTGTAAAATTTGTAAAAGTGGGTTTTGCAACTTTTTACTGTAAGATAACGATATGTTTGTTAAATATAAATATGGGAACAACTAACCATTTTTATTTCCTTTCGAATTGCTTGCATTTTCTGTGACTTTTTTTCTTTAATTAAGTTAGCAAATTTTTGTTTGAATTTATGTTTTTTGAACGGGAACATACCTATTTGTCAAAAGCCTATAAAACGCTTTCAAATAAAACATTTGCTTCTTTGAAACTTTGAGGCGCTTAAAGCAAGTGAAGAAAAGCTGCCATTTGGCCAGCCTTTATAGGTTTTAGTATATTCCAAATAATTTTTGACACTTCTCGCAGCGAAGCCAGCAAGGCAAGCCAGTATTGGGCCAGTACCTTAATAATTACTTATGGAGAAAATTACGATCATATGCCAACATCAATTAAAACTAAATAGTTAATGGGCATACTGTGGTGTAGTGGTAAGCAGGGCGCGCTTCCACTCTGCAGCACCTGGGTTCAAACCTTGGTCAAAGCAACATCGCAAAAATATAGAAAAAAGGTTTTTTCTTCACAGCGGTCGTCCCTCGGCAGGCAATGGCAAACCTCCGAGTGTATTTCTGCCATGAAAAAAAGCTTCTCATAAAAATACAATCGGCCTTCGGAGTCGGCGTAAAACTGTAGGGCCCTCCGCTTTATGTGACAACATCAAAGCGCACGCCACAAATCGGAGGAGGAGCTCGGCCAAACACTAACATATGTGTAAGCGCCAATCTATATTTTTCCCTGTTGGTGACCCTATGGTAGGGCAAAATCGAACTGCCTTATGCAATCTGTATACCTCTGTGCCCGGGTTACCTACTTATATACGTATGTCTTGACTCGACATATGTACCTCCCTCCAAAATTTTCATTTTCAAATAACCTGATTGAGTGTACGTGCTCCCGCCATGTCTGTTTGGAGTCGATAGTGACCCAATATACTTCATCTTGATCTATCCACCCAAATTGAACATTACAGTGGTCAATAACAGACCTAGCCATTAACGCTACCGTAAAAACCTTCGATTTTATTCCGCCAAGAGCTAGGTTCAGACATCATCCATGGCGGAAGAAAACCTTCAGTTGTCGCGAAAGACCCAAGACAATTAAGACAATTAAGGACCGCATAATGTACCAGACTCAATGCCGACATAGACTATTGATAGACTATCCAATTAAACCCTTAGAAGTGCCGCTACAACAACAACATGTAAATTGACCGAATGCCATAGCCTAGGGATGCCCAAATCTGCATATATGTATCGCGGGCGACTGCGCGTGCAAAGCAGTGCACAGCTGGCTAGGCAAGCCCATAAAGAAAAAGTTATCGGAAGGGGAAAACGAAGTCAGCAGAATAGTGGGATTGTATGTGTGACAAAGCACTTGTTGCAGTGATGCCAGAAGTGAGCATACCCAAACTTTTTCCGATAATAACCCATATGAGGGATTTTGGTATTGGGAATTTTGCAAGCCTATTAAGAAGTATACATATCTTAAAGAATGTTGATTATATTAATTAAGCCCTAAAAGTACAAAAATCAATCTTCTCGTCAATCACATAGAACTTTTGCTTTAAAAGAAAATATACATAGTGCATTTAGTCAATACTTGGTCTGGCATCGCTGGTTTAGCATGGATGTCATGTGGGAAATCAAAAAGCCAAAATAATTGTAATTCAATGCTTGGTGGGTTATTAAGTGTTTTTTTTTTAATATACGCACACTGACTGCATAAGTACGTGTTTACGTTTCAAAAATAATAAGTCTGTGATTTTTTATTTCGTAACAAAGTGAGGTGTCATATTAAAAGGCTTGGACTGCTGGAAGTGCAATAAGGTTTACCTTTTTTGAAAAGAGTTGCCAACCTTTTTAAAAATTATATTCAAATTATTAAAAAAAAATCAATTATCACAAAATGGGTATCAATCGAAATGGTTTTGAAAAGCTTTGTTTCTTAACTGAACTATACGAGGGTTTCCACCTGTTTAACAAATCAAATTCAATTTGAATTTAGGGAATTAGGTAAGAGAAATTTGTATGTATCACCATATGAGTGCCAAACGAAAAGGGTTTCAGAAAGTAGAAGTACTTTGAACAGGGTGGCCATCTGATTGAAATGTCGAAATTAGTTTGCTTATACACAAGTTATAATAGTAATATTAAAATATGGATGTCAAACGAAGGAGTAACAAGAAATCTTTAGTTTGAACGCAAAGAATACTTTTGAGGTGTTGGAAGAGGGTTACACAGGAGTTTAGGAGATAAAAAGTTAAATTCAAATTATTTAATAAGTTAAGTGAATTATTGAAATACGGGTACCAATCGAAGGGGATTTGAAATTTTTTTATTTCTGAACCATTTTTGCGGGGTTGCCACATGTATGAAAAGTTAAACTCCACCTAATTCATCAGTTAATTATAATATGTACCGCAATGTCCGACGAAGGAAAGTTAACAAGGATTAAGCTTGAAAATACTTTTGAAGAGGTCTAATTCCTGTTTGAAAGGTCTGATTGAATTAACTAATAGCGTTTTCTTTTCTCGAAATAATGTTGCCTATATTCTGCCCTGCGCCAGGGCTGTCAAGTTTTCGTGTTCTTTTCTCAGCATCTTCACATGCATATTGCGTGCTCTTTCTTTAAAGTGTTGCACTCTGATAAAGTTGCCATATTATAAGAAGGTGACATTTTCTTCGGGAAAAGAAAAGAGAAAGAGAAGAGAGAAAGAAATTAGTTCATCAGTTTATTGAAATACATGTATATTACAATGTCAGACGAAAAAGATTCGAGAAGATTTTAGGTTGTGAATACTTTTGAAAAGGAATTTCAAAAAATGAGAGGTCCAATTAAAGACCTTAGACCTGTAAATGTATGATAAAGTTTTATTTTTTTAATCAAGAACTTTTTTCACCTGCACTATGCGAAACTTATCTTCAACCAGAAGCGGCCGAAGCCGAAGTTAAAAAATCAGGCGAATAGGTCGAATACCGAACCTTCGGTCGGACACTAGTAAATATATACTATTGCTAAATTAAAAAAATTATTAAACGATAATAAAAACTTGCTCTTCTTTTTGAAAAATGGACTTTTTCTGGCGTCCTGATGCCACACTGGCTGAGTTGTCGCAAAAGTACGCATGCATACACGAATTTTTACTCGTAAATCAGTTAATATGTATACGTTGCCATCGCCGTACAGCTCACTTTTCTCGCCTAACCCTAATGAAACCCTTTCGCGAGCTTGCAGTTGCCCGCGACGTCGACTGCGTGCACCTCTGCGGTGCATTCCTACCATAGCCTATAGTTGGGTATACCTAACCGAATGGACCCATTCATTAACCATAACTTTGAGGAGAATTTCTATACTGTTACAGCAACAAATTAGGATACGTAAAATTGATAAGGTCACAAATTCTCGACTAGATTTAGGTAAATAATTTTTTAATATCTATACACAGTATGCCATTAGGGTGGTCCTTAAAATTATTAAAATAAAGACATCCAGGAAAATTTTAAAGCTAAAAAAAATTTTGGTCTGAAAAAATTTAATTAACAAAATCGCAAAAACTCGAAATAATGTTGCTTTGACCAGCTATAACTCAGCGAGTTTATGCACTTATAGGAATAAGTTACAATAACTCGTCAAATTTATAATATTTCAAGTCAAAATCCTTTCAAATCTCTGCGATTAAAAAAAAATCTAAATTTTTTTCAAGCTCTGATAGCGACTCCTAAAAATTTGTAGAAAAAAAAAAATGGATGCTCCATAAAAAATTTAGATATTAATATTTTTAAGTACCACCCTAGTATACATGCGACATTCAAATTTACTTACATTTTCGCAACACTATTCAGTGGATTGTTGGAATTGCACAGAACGCTGTATACAGAATCGACTTTGCTAAGTTTCTCAAACAGCGGTATCAGTTCAAGTAATTCGGAATCGTTTGTGTCATCAAACCATGACTTTACAGGAACCTAGAAAGGAATAAAAAGAAATAAATGTTTAAAAATTTTAGAAATTCGTTATAAAAATCAGCATGTTTAACTTTGAAAAAATCTACGTATTTTACTTAATTAAGTAGACTTTTTTGCATCCAGAAACTTTTGAAATTTTAACTCAGTTTACGATTTTCTAATTAGTACATCAAACTCGCTTACCGCATTATCTGGATGAAATATATAACTCGCTGGTGAATTATCGACAATGACGATTTTTTGTAAATCACGTCCAAGACGATTTAGATCCTTAATATAATTTCCCCTGTAATAAACGCACGATTCCCTAAACAGTCTTGCACGAAATACATCCCATCTGCGGGAGAATAAAAATATATATTTTTTTAAATAAAATTAGTTAATAATTGGTAATTTACACTCACTTGTCTAACAGATCGGCAACGGGATCTGCATATTTGGCTAGTGATGCTGTAAATAAAACACACTCGTACAATTCGCCCATTTTTCGCAGGAACTCATCGACGTAGGGCCTTTTGAGTACGTAAACTTGATGTATGGTGCCATCAATTTCCACTGGTACAATAAAATCAGCATTTGGAATCGGCTGTAAGAGAATATGTAGTTAAAACGATTAATATTTAATGTTCAAATAAAACCGTTAAATATGTATGGGCGCCAATAAAAATAAAATGACTGCATACGCGATAAGCTATTTAAATTGCATGGCTTGCAAAAAGCTTAGTACGCTTTTAGGCGCTTACACACGTACATATTTTGCTTACCTTAAAACTACTGTGCACTAATGTCTCATCCAAATCGATGACCATGCATTTTTTATGCATATCCGAGTGCCTAACCTGAGGTAGTAGGTACCTTTGTTGGTCCGGTAATGGTGGCGGTGTTGTGGAACCATCGATTGATGTGCCATTTTGATTGGTTTTCGTGCGATTACGTCGCCAGCAGCATAGGAAGGATTGAAAGAAGCCGCGTTTTGGTGGTTTTAAGCGTTCGACATCGTCTGCAACATTTGAAAAATTGAATATGTACAATAAATATTAGATTTGAGGTTTGTTGAAATTTAATTTTAACACTTATATTTTATTTATAACGCAAATTAAGTATCTACATAGATTTCGATGGAAATAACCTTTTTTGCAGGGACCGAAATTAACCGTTCAAAATGAAGATTTTTGATTTTTGATCATTGCAAAATTGTTAACTTGGATTTAATTTTTTTCGACTATATTCGATCGTATTTTGTGATTTTTATTTTTGTCGATAAGAAAAATCGTTATTTAAATTTTTATTTATTTTTTTTATTATATTAGACGGTCACAATGTAGACTGCATTTTCATGACCGATTTAAATCTTTTATGATCTAAGAAATTAAATTGGAAAAGAGCAGTTATAATTTACCTATCGTATATTATGATCGAGAAAATAAAAATCGAAAATTACGGTTAAATTTGATCTGAAAACAGAAACCCAATTTTAAGGATTATATTATTTATCGACAGCATATCGATAAATTTATTGAAAACGTAACCAATAACAATATTGATAGATATTTGTAGATGAATCGATAACAGCATCGCAATAAAAGCGGAGTGAGCTTATTTATCGATGACGATATCAAAACAAATAAATTAAAAGTATCGGAGAATAGCATTACAAATCGGTAACAGCATCAATAGATTTATCGATAAGAAATTTAGTAGATTTATGTATCAATTACTATAAAAATTACCGATAAATACATCCTGCTACAAATACATATATTGGGATATTGACGAAAAAATATGTATATAACGGTATCGGCTTTGAAAACAAATATGAATAGGAACTTATCATGAAATCTGGATATAATAAGAAAAAAGTAGACTGTTTCACATGAAAGCTCCGTGATTTAGGTAAGCAAAGAGAGTTTATGATTAGTGATGGTACTAAAGACTAATGGCCTTATACATAAAAAGTAAAGTAGAATTAAATATAAAACGACATTTTCAGGCAAATTTTCGATTTATAAAGCAGTTAAAATCTTTTTTACTTCTTATAAATTTGGGCATAAGAATATAAACATCCGTAAAAAAGTTGTTGAACTGGTCTAAAAATAATAATACTGCAGAAGGAGTTATTTATATATATCTTGGACTGTCTTTTACGCTTTGCTTTAAAACGAAAACACTTGTATGCAAAAATTTATTGGCACATTTACTAATTTTATTTAGATTAATTGCTCTTTCAAAATAATACAGCACAGCTACAACTCGTTTTTGACTCCAATTTGTTTACCCTTAACGATCATTCATCCTATTTACTTGCTGACTTTAGTTTGTTTTTATGTTGCAAGAATTTGTTTTTCCTGTCACACGTTTGCGTTTGCCGAACCAGCAAACTTAATTGCTTTAATTGTCAATGACCTGCTGACTGTCTGTTGTCGATGAAGGCACTGGCCGACGACGCGCTTTCGCTTTCGCTGAATTCGCGTCTTTATGCAGTAGTAGGGCTCTGGCAATGTAGGCATCATTTGTTATATGCTAATACTTTTTTATACATATATCTACATACTTATATGCATTTATGTTTTAGTACGCCTCGCAAAAAAAAAAGAATCGCTTGTAAATATGCGTAATATTCCCACAGTATATTAGTTAAAATGCCTTATGAGTAACGTAAAATTTGCTCACTGAATTATGACTTGGGACGTGTAGACAATGGACGAGTAGAAAAACTATGTGTCTAGAGAATTGCCCATGTATGATCAAACATTAACTGGACTTACAGCTCTGCTCCAGCCGCTGGCGTAACAGGTGCAATGAGATTTTGTCTGAATATTGTTCTGAACAACTGCTAACAGCTTCACCCAACTGCTTTTGGGGCTCTGGAAAGAAAGGCCGCTCGGGCATAGTTCCATCCTAAACGCATTACCGCATGCAATTAAAGCGCTGCCTACTAAATATATCCTGGCCTGGGTTAACCACAAACCCCGCATGAAATTCCCAAGCCGCAGTGATTGGACTCAGGGGTCCAGTTCTTGGAGCGCTTAACGGTCTTTACGGACGGATCAAATACGGAATGCGGGGTTGGTTTTTTAATAAAATGAATTATTTTTATAACATAAAAAAAAATAAATAAATAAAAAAATCTAAATAAATAAAAATAAAAGAAATAGTTTTAACTTGTCGATATGTGGGTGTCGTATAGTTGTGGTAGGCTATAGTGCCCTTTTGGCGGGGGAATCAAATTTAAGTCGCAACTAGTCCTTTCTTTCAGCTGGTAGTTTCTCCAAGGAAAAAACTTGAGTTACTTCATTTCTTTTGTACCAGTTTGTGGCGAGTTACAAAGTATTCCAAAACTACCCTTTTCCTTAAACTAACTTGTTCTTCACCCTGCTGTTTAAGCTACATTTTTAAATATCGATGGTCCTCTGCAATAACGGCACACAGGCGAAACAAAGAAAGTTCCACAGAGAGTTTATATTAAAATAGAGAATGAGTGGAAGTAGGTATTCTCTGCATGTTTTCTCAACGTAGCCGAATGGATGTTTGTATTTCATTGAAAATTACCTCATAATTGTAGATATGTGATATCTTGTTGAATTTATTGAATTTCTCCGCACAGTGTTTTTTTAATATTTGCAAAGTTTTTCGAAACGAATTTTTTTCGTTAAAATGTAGTTCATACTGCATCAAATGGTATATAAATAATTGTTCCAAAATTTTTTCAAAATTTGGGACAATTCGACAAATTTTCAACTTTTAAGCATAAGTTTTTAGAATTTTTTTGAGTATTCTGTTTTTTAGTTCACTCAATTCCAGTATAAGAAAGTGCAAGCTTTAAGTCGCTACAAAATACCTTTTTGGCAAGTTTTTTACTGACGCCCTTTGGAATTTTTTCCCATACAAAAAAAAAATTATCTCGCATTTGTTATATAAAGAAAATGCGCAACATCGTCTTATAGCCCCTTAGACTTGCACTTTATTGTACTGAATTTGAGGGAACTGCAAAACTGCATACTCAAAAAAATTGTAACATTTTTTTTTATGTTGAAAATTTTGGTAAGAATTTGTCGAATTTTCCTAAATTTTGTAAAAACTTTGAAACACTAATTTATATGCCATTTGATGCAGCATGAACTATTTCTATAAAAAATTCACGAAAAAATTTATTGTGAAAATCATTGCAAATATTAAAAAAAAAACACTGTACGGAGACTTATTCTGGTGTTCGAGTATCCATACACTTGTTGCTGCTGCCGCCTAAATGCTCACGCCACAATGCACAAAAAATTAGGGTCAAATAGCTCAATTGACCATAGGGTAACAAACTAACACCTACAAAACTAACAACACTTTCGTATTCACAAACACCGGCACATACATACATATGTAGGTACATTATTTTTTAATGCTACATAAATCGTTAGCTGGCAAAAGTTTGTCTGGCTGCCACCCAATTAAGAAAAAAGTAAAAGTATTCATATGTACATATATTTGTAAGTATATATGTGCCATGTCTCTTTGCATTTAAATACGAGTAAATGTTGCTTTCCGCTACCTCTCCAAACTTTTGCTACTCGTACTATTGAATTATAGTTTTACTTATTCGATATTATTTTTTGGCAAGTTATTCAACCATATATTCATATGTATACATAAAAACCTTTATTTGAATACTTCATACGCCTATGTTTGTAGTAACACTTTAAGCGCTCCGGTAAAATTAATTTCCTGTTGGATAAACGACGTGAAAAGCAAAAACAACCAAAAACGAATATTACTGACTTGCATAAAAAAAAGCAGTGAAGGCATTCAAAAAAAAAACGAACTCGAAAAATTAGCAAGAATACAAGCGCTGCTGTTGCCGCTGCTGGCTGACCCAATTTCGTTTGTGACCCAAGTAATTCAAACAAATGCTGCTAATAAATGTTGCACATTCATGCATAGTTGCATATGTGTGCGTATAGATGCAAATATACCCAGTGGGAAAAGTAGTAAGTAATGCATTACATGCGTGATAAATAATGTTATGTATTTCTTATGAGTTCTACATAGATTCTATTTTGTACTGCGTAATATATTGTATTCAAAAAGTTGCCAAAAATTGATATTAAATCACATTCATTCTTGCATTACTGGTGATGCCAAATTGAATGCCACACTTTGCCTAGGACAACGCCGTGGGAAAATAAAGGCATTTACGAATGTGAAAACGGCTGTTTTACTGATTCTTTTTTAGATTACTATACATTACATTTTCCCACTGGGTAGTTTGCATTTGGACATATGTATGTATTCATACCTACATAGTGTATATGTATGCATATGACATATGAAGCCAAATTGTGGGTGAAAGAGCAACAGTTGCTCAGGTACAGGGTGTCAATCAGCGTTAGAACTTTACTACGATCGTAGCAGATTTGCTACGATTTTTGATGAAAATTAGAAATTTACTACACTACTCCACTTTAACTACGATCTACTTCGGTTTTCTTTCCCAAATAATAAAGAGCACTTATTGCAGTATCTGAAGTCAAAAAATGGTCTAAGGGACGTTTTTTCAAGGAGCTTTTAAAATTTATGTGACTTTCAAATACATTCTTCGCTTAAAATACTAAAAGTTTTTGTTTTTTTTTTTTGAGTTGAGTTGAGGTGTAATCCAATGTACAAAGTTCTGGAACTTATAGCCACTTTCGCCAAAGCAAGTTAAGTTAAATTTGGTATTTTTTTAATTTAATATGAAAACCGACGAAAAAGAAAATATAATTTTACACTTAAATTGCTGGTGAAATCGGCAGCAAGAGCCGAGACAGACAAAATTGCCATTGAAAATGAAATTAAAGAATAACACCCTGTACATGCATCTAAGAGCACATATGTACAACAACAACAGTATATATGCATACATATTTGCAAATATGCAGCATGCATGCATATCGGCTGTGTTTATGTCGACCAATGCGACCTACATTGCGGATAGGCGTTTATTAATTAACACACACACACACACACACGAAA